AAGAGTTCGAAAGAACCAACTAGGTGTTGTGCTGCCATCTAGTTTTGAATGGGAACATTTCTCAATAAAGGCTTGTCTTTCACTTTGGGAAATGCTTTGTGTAAATCCTTGAACATCTCGACTTTATGCGACTTGTGCACGGCTTCGAATGTTGCTGAACTTCATTCGTGGACGAGAGCCAAAGCCAGAGATTGTAACTGGTTCCAGCAGCCCGGCTTTCAGCCGATGTCAGAAACTATTTCAAAAATACCACCAGCTTCAGTCTCTGGGGGTTCAGATGCATGCGGGTGTCATTTTGGGACCGTGTGTGCGGTAAAAAGAATTTCTGACTTACATTAGGAGCAAAACATGCGCCTCACATTCCGTTTTAAAAATAGCTCTCTTTATCAGCTCCCTGTTTCAAAAGAAAAACACGCTCAAAGAGGAAATTTGTCCACGGGGAACATCGTTCTGGAGTTGAGCAATCCTTAATCCTTCCTGAAAATGTTCTTTTGGGGGGGAATAAAGGAAGAAAGCACAGGAACTGGAACTGTACAGTTCATTCTAGATATTTACTGCGACTGAAATAATTCTTGAAAACATCAAAGTTCTTCTTTGTTCAAATGTTTCTAACATGACCGTGACGTTTGAGCTGCACTCCAGTTTTTACAGGAACGGGTTTGTAAAAACAGCCTGTGTGCTTCACTGAGGAGAGAGATTCATTTGATGCATCAGAGAGTGATCTCATCACTGCTGATGTCATTGTTGCCAGTGGAACTGAACATTCTACTGGTCCATTCACATCAAACCCGTTTTGAGCGTCAGGAAAGTCTGGTTCACATTCAAAGTCTATGTGGAGTGTTGGATACGCTGGATGTGTCAAATGCTCCAAACGGTTCAAATTGCGCCACGCTAGACGCTCGAAGCGCCTCCACATAGACTGAATGCAAACCAGACGCACCTGATGCTCAAAACGCATTTGGTGTGAACGCACCTTTATATGTCCAGTGTCACATTAGGTCAGTGTTTCTCAGTTCCTCTCTTCAGGCCCCCTGCTTTGCATGTTTTAGATGTGTCTCTGTTTCAGAACATCTGATCCAAATGATTGCATGACCTCTTCTGCAGTCATCAAGTTCTGCAGAAGCCTGTTAGTCACCCACAGATTCAATCTAGGGGTGTGGCAGATGGGGAAACACCTAAAACATGCAGGGCAGGTGATCCACCTGAGGAGGGGAAGTGAGAAACACTTCATTAGTTCCATCATATTAGGACCAAAGCCTGGTCCTAATATGATGGACTCATTCATTTGGGAAATGTTTAGAGGTAAGATCCAAATTAAGTTTTAGTTAATAAGGTTAGGAATTGTCATGGGGGAAAAAAAAACTATTTCCAAGCACTGTTCAAGTAAAATCACTCAGTCAGGTTAATTCATGCATTGTGCACAATGCAGAGAGCTCATAAGACGATCAATAATCAAGCTAGTCTGGATGCAAATCTCACAAAACTCTCCCAGGCAGAGACAAACAACGAAGTTTCATGCAAGGATAAGGAATCAAATCAAGGTGCGAGTCGGCCTGGTTCCCGTGCAACCATCCAATCTCGTACATTTAACCCAAATAGTCCTCGGATGTTCAGTCGAGGGATTTTGATTCCTTATTCTTACATAAAACTTAGGTGTTAGTCTCTGCCTGGGAGAGTTTTGTGAGCTTTGCATCCAGACTGGCTTGATTATTGATCGTCTTATGAGCTCTCTGCATTGTGCACAATGCATGAATAAACCTGACTGAGTGATTTTACCTGAACAGTGTTTATATAATATCAGGTTATATTTCTGCCAATTGCATAGCTGCATTAGACTACTAGTCTAATGTCTTAGGACAACTTAGGACAATTTAGAAAGACCAATTAATCAATTAATTAATGCAGAGTTTTAGTCTAACCTGGGTTTGTATTGTGACCGAGGTTAGTACCCTAGTGTGGGTCGCCGCAAAGGCCGAGCCGGGATTAGCTTGCCCTTCCTGCCAATGCCAACTCGAAGGCCCTCCATGCAACCGGTGGAGGTTGGTTGCATGGTCGTCTGTCTGTCCTCGGACCTCCAGGTTTGTGTGGAGGTCTGGGTTTGCGTGGTCTCCTCTCTTTGCAACCTGGATGTGGGTCGGTGCAAAGGCTGAGCCGGGCTATGGATGGAGACCTCCGGTTGGTTCAAGGTCTGCCTGTCCCTGGACTCCTCTGTTTGCAGGGGGGCCTCTGGTCGGGTGGAGACCTCAGGATGGTTAGTTTCCATAGCAAGTTTTAACTTGAGCTTCAGGTCTGCAACCTGATCTTGCAAAGACTTCACTGTTGCCTCTTGTTCTACGAATTTAGAAGCCTGCTCTGCGTGATGTTTGAGCTGCTCCTCATATTTCAGCCTCACTCTGTACTCTTCGACCATTACTTCAATGAGGCCTTTATTGTGGGAGGCATGTTTTACAGCCTCCCTCTTGAAGTAATCGAGCTGTCGAAGAAGGTCCTTGTCAGCTGTCACTTTGGTCGAGCAAGAAGCCCTTGAGCTACCTGTCGTCTCCGGCACCTTTCTGTCACGATCTTGTTTGACTTGCTGGTGACGTTCTTTCTGTAACAGGTTTTGCAGTCTTTGAATTTCGTCCTGCTGGGATTGGACTTGAGCCTGATAGGCAATCCTTTGTTCTCGTTCCTCATGGAGATCAAAGATCTTGCTCTGTAACTCTTTTTTAAGATCATCCACCTGCTTTGTGAGGTCGAAGACGTGTTGGTTTGTCTCGTCCTCGACTTCCACTGAGGGTGATCTGGAAGCCAGCAGACTGAGTTGTTTTCTGCTCGACTTCTGAAGATGATGGATTCTCAAAGTCGCCGGAAGGACTTGATTCCCCTGGTTCTCTGATGGTACACCTTCCGGCTCAAAGGGGCTGTCGCTGTCGTCCTCAAAAGGAAAAACGACGGCGTCGTAGTCGACCTGGAGGTTGAGGTCCACGATGTCGACCCATGAAAGCTTAGATGGAAAAGCTTCATGTTGACATGCAATTTGTTGGTGCTTCATGTCGGTATTCTTGCTGTAAAAGGCGTGCGATATCTGCAATCGATATCCCGCTTGTCTCAGTGACTTTCGAACGTGTTTTGTAGAGTGATCTGCTGCAATCGAAATGTGGAACAGGTCTGACAAAACTCTGTCAGTGAGCTGAATTCAAGAGAGAGATTCCTTTGTGGTGTCATAGAGTTATGACATCACTGCTGATTTCAATGATACCATTGGAAAAACATTCTTTTCCTATGGGAGTTGATAAGCAACCAGACCTAAAGCACCGCCATCTGCTGGCCTCTCTTGGAAGTGCGCTTCTAAATAAAATTACTCCAACGCTATTCATCTGTTGAACGAAGACTAAAAAATTCAGACACTTTTCTGAGAATTCTAAAATTAAATTCTAAAATATTTTTGATTTTTCTCCACAGTAACCCTAATATTCTTTTGCACCAAAGACAATCAGATTTATATATATATATATATATATATATATATATAATTAATATGACTATTAATTATATATATATATAATTATATAATTTTATATATATATATATATATATATATATATATATATATATATATATATATATATATATATATATATATATAACCTCTCCAGTTCTTCCTCAGGGAAGAACTGGAGAGGGCCTGGAAGGTGAAGACCACAGTGGCGCCTGTGGTCATCGGGGCCCTCGGGGCAGTAACCCCCAAACTGGAGCAGTGGCTACAACAGATCCCAGGAACAACATCAGACATCTCAGTCCAGAAATGTGCAGTCCTTGGCACAGCCAAGATACTGCGCAGAACCCTCAAGCTCCCAGGCTTCTGGTAGAGGACCCGAGCTCAGAGGATAAGAACCACCCGCGATGGGTGAGAAGGGAATTTCTTTATATATATATATATATATATATATATATATAGAGAGAGAGAGAGAGAGAGAGAGAGAGAGAGAGAGAGAGAGAGAGAGAGAGAGAGAGAGAGAGAGAGAGAGAGAGAGAGAGAGAGAGAGAGAGAGAGAGAGAGAGATCATCTAGTGGTGGCAAGAGCAGCAAAACAAAAAACAAAACAACTGGCCTGCTCTGGACTTAAGATGGAGTAGATTAATCAGCAGGCAACATTTTTAATATGTCCTCCAGGTTTTGATTGTATTTCAGACTGCCATTAAATTTCCACACTGAGGTTTATAGTTGACTCTGTGTTGCTCTATGTAATATTTTCCTTTTAATTCAGTTCAGTGTTTAGAAGTAATATGATCGAATACCTGTCAGGGTCCAAGAAAAAAAAAGAAAAAAAAAAAGAAAGCATAGTAAATGAATACTTCTGAATGTGCTTACTAAATTAAATCATTTTACTCATTTGATTTATTTAGTATTTAGAAAAATAAATGAATAAAAAAAAATATGACTATTAATTAGCAATTACATTCTGACACAATAAAGCAAGTCAAAGTAAATATTTTCTCTGACACGGCTGAGATCAGCTGATCACAACAACCCACTGAAACACGTCATCTTTGGCGTCCTCTGCCGGCCGAGACATGGAAACAACAGATTAAACCAACAACCTTCACCTGAACTTTTAAATTCACCAAACTAGGACTAGTTAGCAAAATGAAGAAGCTAACATGTTAATAATTACAATGAAATTAACCCCGCAGAAAAGACCTCCAATATAGAAACATATAATTTATTTATAGTTTAAAATAGTTTTTTTTATTATTATATTGTTTATTCTACCGAATCTGCGTCGCGTGCTCTCCAAACCGGGACTCACCTTCAGGTCTCGCGGCCGAAATGAAAGTGAGCGAAGAGCATCGAAACTTCCGGTTCACATAAAGTCAGCTGTGTTCTGTTGTTCCGCGTCCACGCCCAGCTGTGACAGGTGAGCGGAACCGGGTCGGACCCGCTGACTTGACTGACTGACGTTCGCGTGACGAAGGCGGGGAGGAAGAAACACTCTATGTGTTTCTCTTCCACTAAAATGAAAACGCAGCTCGGGTTTGTTTCCAAACGAGCTGCTATAAATCACAGGGGTCAAACTCCGGTCCTTCAGGGCCTCGGGGACAAAACACTGGACTGAAATGGCTTAATTACCTGCTCCTTGTGTGGAGGAGACCACCTGAGCCTTAATGACCTCATTATTGTGTTCAGGTGTTGGTGCAGTTAAAGGTTGCAGCTCAGTGTCCCTCCAGCTCAGAGGCCTTCCAGCTGCTCCAGCCTGCTCCACAACTCTCTGCTCAGCTGACGGAGAACCAGACATTCCTGTGAGGTGAGATTTATTCTTTCATGTTCTAGTGACTGGAGGTCCATCTCCTAAAGTTCACTGATTCAACTTTTGTTTTTTCTCAACTTGTTTTTAATGTACACTGAACAAAAGTATAAGCGCCCCATGTCGAATATGAGAGTTCTATGAACGTTTGGGTTCCGCAATATATAGAGAAACTCAAAATATATACTGCTAAAAAAAAAATAAAGGGAACACTCAAACAACCCAATATAACTCCAAGTAAATCAAACTTCTGTGAAATCAAACTGTCCACTTAGAAAGTAACACTGATTGACAATCAATTTCACCTGCTGTTGTGCAAATGGACTAGACAACAAGACAAAGTATTCAATGAAAATATTTCATTCATTCAGATCTAGGATGTGTTATTTTAGTGTTCCCTTTATTTTTTTTTTGAGCAGTGTACATTCGGTAATTGGTGATCTTCGTGTCGCCGGTGTTAACATCGTGGTCATTTGTCCTCTTAACATGATGGGGGTTCAGGTTGAGGAATTTGATTTTCACCCATTTGGCTTGTTGTAGGTCAGGGGGGCACAACTCATCTAGATGTGTCTCCACTTCAACACACCTGAGTCAAATAATGAGGTCATTAGCAGGACTCTAGAGAACCTGACTGCACTTAGGAGCTGATTCAGCTGTTGGATTCGAGTGTGTTGGACCAGGGAGATCCAGGAGTTGCAGGACACCGGCCCTTGAGGGCAATGTCACATTGTGGGGTTTTATTGTCCAGTTGTTGCTCATTTTGTCTGATCAGCAACATGCCCCACCCTGCACTTTGTAAAAAAAAAAAACTCACTGACAGCAGGTTGGATTAAAGATGTACACAAGTCGAGAGAAATATAACATTTACAGTTGCTAACTCCGCATATGGCAACAATATTTGGCATGCGGCCCTTTATATTTTTGTTCAATGCAGCTGTTTCTGTAAATGAAACTTTAATTTATTTGATTCCAGATGGCTGAAAAAATCATTGTTTTCTTTGACCTGGAGGCCACCGGATTAGGTAATCTGACCCACACACCCAGTTTACACACAACACTCACATTGTAAATCAGTCTTTCAGGACTAATTCTTGTCATTATTTTATTTTTTTATTATTAAATTATGATTTTTGTTTGTGATTGAAAAAAACAAATCAAAACTACTTTTCAAAGAAAAAAGTATGACAATGTGCTTATTTTAAACAGCTTTTGTTTAATAAACTGTTTTTCTCTTATGTTTCTAATGCTACCTAATTCAGCTTCTGATCTGCAAGTGGAATAAATTGGTACAAGCAGTTCAATGAAAGCACATACAGCAGTTTTAAATAATACAATAATTTAACTTAAACTATACACTGGATTTTTTTTCTTATTAAACTAAACACAAATGCAAATGGGTAAATTAAAATGAAGACTAAATGCCATTTATGGATACAAATGTTTTTATATACTTTTTTTATTTTTATTAATGCAATATGTTGAGCATAAATAAGCCTTTTGTATTTTTGTTGCTGACTGAATTCTGAGCAGTGGGTCTCTATCCCAACCACTCCAATATATTCCATATTACGGATCATATTTGTATGTCAAAAGGATCTGGAACTTCAAATGGAATAAAACTTTCCTTGCTGCCATCATTGGAGGATTTTAAGCTACTCTTATTCTTGCCTTTGTTCAGATACTTCACGGTGTGACATCATCCAACTGGCCGCTGTCTGTGAGGAGAGGGTCTTCAATAGATTCACTGTCCCTCAACAAAACATTGACGAGGGCGCCTCGGAGGTCACAGGCTTCAGAGTGCGCTCCGGCCGCCTGTTCCTCCGCGGGTCTCCCGTGGAAACCGTCCCAATCGTTGACCTTCTGACCTCCTTCATCGACTTCCTGCGCTCCTTCCGAGACCCCGTAGTGCTTGCGGCCCACAGTGTGATGAGTTTCGACGCGCCCGTGTTCACCAGAGTGTTGATGAAACACGACCTGCACAATCAGTTCCAGGAGGTGGTGTCGGGCTTCCTGGACACCTTCCTGCTCAGCAAGAGACTCTTCCCGAACATCAGGGGCCATTCTCAGGTGTCTTTAGTCAGGATCTTTCTGGGGAAGTTCTACGATGCTCACAATGCAGAGGAAGACGCCAAGATGCTGCAGGAGCTGTATAAGGTGTGGAGACCTGATCACAACAGTGTCTTCAAGAGTACTTTTAACGTAAATTAAATGTACTTTTACGAACGGAAAAAGTCTAATTATGTACCCTGAAAACGACAGGTTCTGAGTGAGGATAAATGTGGCTTCTTTTTATGTCCTCATGCACCTCTAATTCAATGGAAATATTAAACAATGAAATGAGGTTAAAAATTTTTGTAATCGGAGAATAGAAAGGAATGAGACCCGTTTAATTTTTTTAGTCCTGCGGCTGTGCACTTTGTTGTTTCTGAGAAGTACGGCTCAGTCTATTTGTAAGAACCATTAAAACTTAACTTTCTACTCATTCCTGAAATCTCTTATTTATACCAAATCACAGAAGCCAGACAGGGATTTTATGTGTACACTGAAAATTTGTCTTCTGCTTAACTTGTGAAATAAACATGTTCTAAAGTGTTTCAGTGGCTGCGTGTTGTCTACACTTGGAAGGACCAGACTTCAGATTTCATTGTTGTTTTTGTATTTGACCAGTTGTTCAGGTGTAACATGTTGTTCAGATGAAAAACCGATTGAACAATACGTTTATTTTCCTCCCAAAACTAAAAACGTCTCAATGTCCATTTAGTGTCTTTGTATAGATTCCACCTGTCTTGTTTCATCAGCCTGAGAGGGAGCTGCTGACTGACAAAATGAGGCTCACCTGGTGGAGAGTCATGCAGGGTGTGTGTGACTCAGTCTGCAGTCACATGGCAATCAATCAAATTGTATTTGTAAAGCACATTTCAGCAGCAAAACATTCCAGTGCTTTGCATCATGACAAACACAGTCGTGCAACTTAGAATCAACAATCAAAGCATGACATCGAGTTCCACCATTAAAATTCATCACGTTTCAAATGCAACTCTCAGCAGGTCTCGACCCGCTCAGAGAACATCTTCTTGAAAAAGTTCACTGTAATTATGACAAGGAGCGTTACATTCGATGGTGCAAACATTATTGTTAAACTTGGCAAAACGTTTTTGGCTGACAGGCCACACCTGGCTCTGTTTTTTTTTTATTTTTTTTATTTTTTCAAATCAATTCATGAGACAAACCTGCCAGGATTCAGTAAAAGCATATAAAGAAATGCATTTCTGAATGTACTTACTGAATTACATGAAATATTTCACTCATCCGGTTTATTCTCCACTGATTAAAAAAGTAACAAAAGTGGTATAAAATTAGCGCATAAAGTCTTTCTTAAAAACAGAAGGCAAGAAGTTGGATCTCTTCTAACATAAAGCAAGTCAAAGTAAATCTCTCTGACGCGGGTGAGATCAGCTGATCACAACAACAACCCACTGAAACACGTCAGCTTTGGCGCCCTCTGCCGTCCGAGACAGGGAAACAACAGATTAAACCAACAACCTTCACCTGAACTTTTAAATTCACCAAACTAGGACTAGTTAGCAAAATGAAGAAGCTAACATGTTAATAATTACAATGAAATTAACCCCGCAGAAAAGACCTCCAATATAGAAACATAATTTATTTATAGTTTAAAATAGTTTTTTTTTTATTATTATAGTGTTTATTCTATCGAATTTGCGTCGCATGCTCTCCAAACCGGGACTCACCTTCCGGTCTCGCGGCCGAAATGAAAGTGAGCGAAGAGCATCGAAACTTCCGGTTTCACGCAAAGTCAGCTGTGTTTTGTTGTTCCGCGCCCACGACCCGCTGTGACAGGTGAGCGGAACCGGGTCGGACCCGCTGACTTGACTGACTGACGTTCGCGTGACGAAGGCGGGGAGGAAGAAACGCTCGATGTGTTTCTCTTCCACTAAAATGAAAGCGCAGCTCGGGTTTGTTTCCAAACGAGTTGCTATAAACGAGGCTCCTCACAACTCGCTGCTCAGCTGACGAGGAACCAGACAAACCTGCGAGGTGAGATTTATTCACTCATGACTGCAGCTTCCTCTGATGAAAGTTCAACCTGCTTTTAAAGTCGCTGCTCCTTTAAATGACGTTTAATTGATTTTATTCCAGATGGCTGACAAAATCATCGTTTTCATTGACCTGGAGGCCACTGGATTAGGTAATATTTTAAAATGTTTATCGCAAATTAATATATGTGACAAATTTGTATTTACTGATTTGTCATGAAATTATTGGTTTTGGTTTGGTGTGAATCATAAAATTATATTAAAACTATTTTTTTAAAGAAAAATGTACTGTAGAATAATATGATGTGCTTATTTAAAGAAAACTAGATTTATGTGGATTTAACTAAATTTAAGCACATGTACAAAGTTATTTGCTAGCTGGTATAAATGGGAATAAAAACAGACAAAGTGTCATGTACATTTTTAAACTCCTGCATATTGAGTATAAATATACTTTTATCATTAGTGTTTTTGATGCCCAGTAAATTTGTGTCCCCAACCTATTTGTTCCATATATTTATCGTTTTTTATTAATATTTTCATACGTAGATTAAAGCAAAAATAGCTGAATACACTATAAAAGTTTAGTTCCAGTTTTTAATTTATTATTATTAAAAATGTTTTGTTTTGTTTTTTTTTCTTTTCCTTTCCGTTCTGGTCTTACTACAGTGCTGTATTATGGTATTATGGATCATTTCTCCAGTTTCAAGACGGGACTTTTTAAAACCTTTCCTTGCTCATTCCTTTGGCATTCACTTTGTATTCCATTGATTTCTCCTGAATTTCTAACTCGCATGCAATCCAGAGCACTTTTCCTTGAAGACAAAGTATAAATGTTTGCTCCCAGCTCAGGTGGGAAGAGGCCCAGGCCTCTTTATTATGTTCCAGTGAGGCTGTGTAAAAATGCCGATTGCTTTATGAGTCCGTGCCGATCGGGTGGAACCTCTGATAAGGTGAAGATCAGGGAACATCTAGGTTTCTGTTTCCCTCCCACTGGGTCTACACCAGAGAGAGGATTGGAGAACTTAAGCTCGGCTTATTAGTCAGAGCTGGGTGGAACGGCAACATGTCTCTGCAAAAGAGTAACTTCAACATAATTAAAGATGCTACTTATCCTTTCAGTTTGGCACGTAAATGTTGAGTGATGAGAAGATAATCCACATTCGACAAAGACTGATTGCTTGTCCTTTGAGTCTCGTGAACCTGGGAGTCGGATTTCCACCAGGAAAATCTTCACAGAGTTCGCAGACCAAACTCTACCCTGTATCCTGTTCAATACAGGGCAGAGAGACTTTGTCCTCATACAGTGACTCGCCCTGATGCCACATAGTGGTGACTCGCACTGCACATACGCAAGTACATGGGGAAGTGAACAACATATGCTAATCGTAAACAAAGTGTCCAGCTTTACATACAGAGTCTAAAGTTCGTCTTAAAATGGCTTCTAGAATATTCCTCCACAAACAGACTAGTCGTAGATCTAGGCTAATTCAGTGGGTGTCACCAGATTTACGTGTTTATTTTTACATTGGATACAATGAAACACACAGAGGCTGAAAGCAGAAGCAGATTTTTGCCTCATATCAGTCAGACCATCCCGTTTCTTGAGCACAATCACAGAAATTCATGCAAAATCAACAAATCCCCCAATTTTTTACAGTAATTTGGTGATTATTGCAGATTTTTCTCAAAAATGATCAAAAACCTTCTCACATTTACTAAACGGCTGCGTCAGCCTTAATTGATTGTAGATTGTAGTCCATAATCTATACAGCGACTAATAAAAAGTCGCATTTAACATCATGAATAAGTCTCCAAATTAGTACCGCAAACACGTTGATTTTTATTGCAAAAAAATTCTAAAAAGAATCATGAAATCCTGGAGGAACTGAAAAGATGTTCATTGTTATTTAATTTCAAGAACTGATTGATATTTTCACAGTTTGTGAAAAGATTTTATCAATACATTCTGGCACTACCGGCCCCTTAAGAGTTCCTCAGAGTCCTTCTTTGCCACTTACCCATTGCCTTCGTCACATGACCTGAATCAGTGCAGCAGTCGCGCAGCATCAGACCACAACTCTCCCATGGCCTCCTGTCTGACCATGTTGGGAACCCCGGGGGTTCAGTTTGCTTTGACCCATGGATTGTCTCTGGAGATTTGCGCTTCGCGTTGTTCGAGTGAAAACTAAACTATATACAAAATGTAAAAAATGGAGTCCAGAGTCAATATTTATTTTTACGACTTCAGATTTCTCATGAGAACTACAGTGCAATAAAAGTTAATGCTTTTTCCACACTATCAGTGAGTGTGATGTCACTCTCTGATAGTGTGTGAACTTGCACTGTCACTGTTAGGATAAGTAGCTGTGCCACATTTTATATGGAGGACCAATGCGGCCATAAATATGAATAGATACAGGCGCATAAATAACTTGGTAAATCAACTGCCAACCAAATAAATAGTTCAACAAATGAATTAAGGATTCAAGGATTTTTATTGTGGTACAAAATTTGGACTCACTACTGCTGAGTTGTCAGCAAACTTCACCAAATGCAGCGGGGGTGTCTTGCCAAGCAGTCATACGTCAGCAGAGTGAAGAGGAGGAGGCTCAGCATGCAGCCCGAGCCAGCACTGACGGTGATGAAGGAGGAGACATTGTTGTTGATACCGACAGTCAGAGGTCTGTTGGTCAGGAAGACCAGAATCCAGTTCCCCAGTGTGGAACTCAGTCCAAGAGAGGGGAACGTTTGCACCAGGGTCTGTGGGATGATGGTGTTGAAGGCTAAGGAGAAATCCAGGAAGAGGAGACGGGTGTAGGAGTTCCTGCTCCCCAGGTGAGGGCTGTATGGATCACAGACGAAATGGCAGTGGAGCGGTTCTTTCTGTAGGCATACTGATGGGGGTCCACAGTGCCATCAATGGAGTCCTTGATGTGATTCATGACGAGCTTGTCGAAGAACTTCATGACTACCGATGTTAAGGCTATCGGTCGACAGTCTTTCGGGCTCGTCACTGTGGAGCTCTGGGGGAGAGGGACGATAGTGGCGGTCTTTAAACAGGTGGGCACAGATGACAGTGACATTGAGGTGTTGAAGATGTCCGCCAATAACTGATTCATACAGTTATCGACAACATCCCACTCTGGTATGTTGTCACTGACCTGCCACTCAGTGCACTGAAAACAGTCCTGGAGCACACGGGCTGCATCCCTGGTCTTCTTTGTTGGCCTTATCAGTCTCATCGGTGGATCATATGCTGGCGCAAGCAGGATGGAGAGGCAAAGATGGGGGCGAGGAAGACCTCTTTATGCACCGTGAATGTTAATGTCCATCAGTTTGACGTGGTCAAAGTCCCCGGCAACCACGTAAAACGCCTCCGGGTGTTTCATCTGCAGTGAGCTAGCGGCTCCTTCAATGCGTTGTTGCCATTAGCACCTGCAGGATGTAAACAATGGTGACGAACTATGGAGCTCCTAAAATGACATTTAAGGGGGAAAAAAACTTTCTGGTGTGAACCATAAAGTATTTCGTGCAGGATACTATCGGATGGATACAAAATACCATTCTTGTCCATACCAAATATAATGTGATGTTCATCAGAAAGTCCCTGTTGCACATTAGTTTTTTTCTTTCTTTCAGTCTCCCTTGAAAGCCCATTTCTCAAACATTTTATTTCAAATCAAAGCACATTATCATGAATTCTCAAATGTAGATCTCCAGCAAACTGGAATATTTTATTAAATAGTCCACATGATGCAGTAAATATACCAGTTTACGTTGCTATCTGCAACAAATACCAGAACAATCCCACATGTCATGGCAATAACGTGACAGAAGTTAGCATGTTGCTAAGGTGTTCTTGTTAAAACCATTCAGGGATGTGAAGTAGAATTTATTTTTTATTTTTTTATTGTTTTTTTTTTTTACCAAGAAAACTATGAACAGGGTGTTGTTCTTTATTCAGATGTAAAAGTTTTTCCCGTACACAGTGGACTCATCTGACCGGCATATCTAAAATAAAACATTGCTATTTCGTTTAGGGATAACAAGGTGTGCAAGTTTTTTACTTTGACCTACTCTTATTCTTGCCTTTGTTCAGATACATCACAATGTGACATCATCCAACTGGCTGCTGTCTGTGAGGAGAAGGTCTTCAATAAATTTGCTGTCCCTCATCAACACATGACTGACAGCGCCAAAGAGGTCACAGGCTTCAGAGTGCGTTCCGGCCGCCTGTTCCGCCGCGGGTCTCTCGTGGAAACCGTCCCAATCGTTGACCTTCTGACCTCCTTCATCGACTTCCTGCGCTCTTTCCGAGACCCCGTAGTGCTGGCGGCCCACAGTGTGATGCGTTTCGACGCGCCCGTGCTCACCAGAGTGATGAAGAAACACCACCTGTTCCCTCAGTTCCAGGAGGTGGTGTCGGGCTTCCTGGACACCTTCCTGCTCAGCAAGAGACTCTTCCCGAACATCAGGGGCTATTCACAGGTGTCTTTAGTCAGTAACTTTCTGGGGAAGTCCTACGATGCTCACAATGCAGAGGAGGACGCCAAGATGCTGCAGGAGCTGTATAAGGTGTGGAGACCTGATGAGTCCAAGGTTGTGGCAAATACTTTTAAAGTAAATGAAAAGTACTTTTACTAAAGGAAAAGTCTAATAACCAACCGATATATCAACAGAAACAAAATGGTTCTGAGTGAGAATAAATGTGGCTTCTTTTATGTCCTCATGCTCCTCTAAATCAATGGAAATATTTATACACAATGAAATGACATGAGGGTTAAATTATTATTATTATTTTGTAATCAGAGAATAGAAAAGAATGAGACCTGTTTAATTTATTTAGTCCTGCGGCTCAGTCTATTTCTACGAACCATTATAACTTAACTTTCTGTACATTCCTAAAATCTCTTAAATCATAGAAATCACACAGGGATTTTATATAGAAATTTGTCTTCTGCTTGTCTTGTAAAAGAAAATGAAAATATTTTATATGCGTCGTATATCTCTTATGCACCATAGAGTAAAAAAATAAAACAAAGCATGTAGGGTCTTACATACTTTGTGTGTATCATGGATTCTAGGATTTTCTTTTTGATTAAATACTGACATCATGAAAACTATTTTCAGATTTGATGTTTTCTGTGGAAGCCGTCTGTTTGATTAGCTTATTTTCCAGTTGTTTCCTCTAGGTGGCAGCATTGTACTTAAAAAAGACCAACAAAACCGAATTTTTTATTTAAACGTTAGTATAGGTGAAACTTCCTGAAGTGTGGCCATGACCCCAACAATATTTTCTTTTATTTCTTGCCTGCGTCTGTGTAACTCGGCAGCAGCTGCACGCTGCATTAACAGTAAGGTGATGCTTTTTAAATGCCCTAAAACGTAAATGGTAAGTCCAGAGTAGGTCAGCTTAACTTTTATCACCTTAACATGGACTCTTGCTGCACGGTTCGGAGTATTTCGGTTCAGTTAACACCCACATACATTTCCTGACACATAATCAGAAGTGCAGTTAGAAAATCAACCACTGCCAGAGTTCAGGCATCACTTCCTATTGATCGCAAAGTGAAAATTCAAAACCATAAATCTGCATCAGACAGAAAGTCCTGTTTGATGTTTGTGCATCCTTCTTGGTGTGGGAAATATTTTTGTGTTTTTCTTTTTTTTTAAGCGTCAATTCCTGATGCACCTGAACATAATCTTTGCTCTGTCCTCCATTTTTATTAGCCTAACACTTTAGCAAACTACTTGCACCACACAATTTTAGTTAAGTCATTTTTGCTGTGCTTTGGTTTATATGCAACAGGTTATTTTCTTGTTGTTCTGAGCGACCAGTCACCTTGGAGCTGCTGCTGAAGGGCCACAAAGAAAAGAGTCCCAGCTGCTTTTATTCTCTTTAAAAGGCACAAGCAGGCCACACTGCTGTGCTGCACAAAGAGGGGAAATTTGGTGCTCATTGGTCTGTTCAAATCTGCAACACGTGTGTTGAAGCGCAGACAAAAGTTGCATGAGAAATTCATGCTATCTGTAATTTCCTTCCAAACTACTCTTTCTTCATTCCTTTTGCTCTGAGACAATAAAGTGAGAGTCGATTTTGTATTCCTGGCTCATTTGCTGTGTGTCTGGAGCAGTTTGTTTCACTTTTGATTGAGAATCATTGTGTTCCTCAAATCTCTGCCCTCAAACAGCGAAAACATTTTACTATTATTTGTTCACAGCATGCATTGCATTTGCTGTTTATCCACTTTTCAACTGAGTGTAATCTTTGTAGGGTGAAAAGACAAACCTATTTAGTTTATTAAAGCAGCCTGTTTAAATGTAGTCTAACAGCACCACCATGTGGAAGGTGAAGGACATGTTTCATGTGGTTCTCCCCTCCAGGTGACAGTTTCACACCATTTGTTTTCTCATTTTATGTTTTTATATACACAGTATTGTTCTAGTGTTATTTTTGTGCAATAATTTTTGGATTGAGTATATCAGCTGACCTGTATGTGTGATGTAGCGTCAGAGTACATCAGGACTGAGCTAACGAATATCTGAGGAGAGAATTTTCAGAGGTTTTATGGACTAATGAGGTGAGAACTGTACAGGTGAGCTTGTGGTCGTTAATAAAGATACACTTTCGTCAAGCAGTGGCAGAGAAAACCTCTGGGTCTTACAAGAATGTCCAGGCAGACCATGACATGTAAGCAGGACAATGCTCTATTCCATGCGTCAAAGGGAATTCTGCGCAATTTCCTGTCAGCGTCATTGCATCGAACTGGCACATTACATATGTCACTATGAAACATTAGCCACTGGGTAAAATTTAAAATGTCAACGCAGTCCATGCTTCCAGTAAGTAAAACTTTTCTCAATAGTCAAGAGTCCACACACTAAAACAACATGTTGTAGTTTCTTCTTAAAAAGAACAATTACAGAGAAGGAGAAATATGCCAGCTTACTGGAAATTGTGAGCGCCGTAAAAACCATGAGTGGAGCAGGGCCACAACATGTTTGCCAGCAATTAAACGTCTTATACGTTCCTTATGCTTCGTCAATATTTGGAAGTGTGGAAAGCAAACCACCTTAATACTTTTGTTCACTTTCTACACTGCAATTGCCAAACTACAACCAAATAGAGGCAGACAATAATTCTAAAACAGCACAAAAAAAGTCAACATCGTCGTTCGTAACTTCTGTTCATTCATTGATCGGCCCGGTTGAAATTCAGCTGGAGATAATCAGCTCATTTGGATAAATCCCAGGTGGAGATCCAAAGGGAGATGAGAATTGAGCGGAATTGCATAAGAAGCCAAATGCCAGAATACTTTCTCCAAATCCCGTTTACTGTGAAGTGAAACAATCTGGGATGACACTGTCAAGTCTATATAAATGTGTCACTAAATTTGTGTGGCATGGAAACTCGCATGTGGATGTGTTTCAGACAGTTTTTCATCATGGAAAAATCCAAAGAAATCAGCCAAAACATCAGGATTGGAACTGTGAACTTCCACCGACATTGTGCGTCCCGGGGTGAAATTCACAAATACATGAAGATGCTGCTTTCATCAGTTCCAACATTTAAATGAAAACAGCATGGCAATGTCCACACTTCGACCCGCATTGGAAAGAGATGAGTTCTGTCACCCAGAGATGAATGTGATTGATCCAAAATGTGCCAATGACCCCCCAGCACAAAGGCTGTGGATCTCCACAAACGTTTTCGTGGAGATCCTGGAACTGCCATCATCCCCAGTATATCAAGTCCGATGCAGACATGAATTGCAAATGCACTTAGAAAAAGATCTACACTTTTTTTACATGTGTGTTATGGTTTCATTCAAACTAAAACTGAAGCGTTTTGCAAAAATAAGCATTATTATATCTGGAGAAAAATGGAGGGATTGGTGCACTTCACAAAATTGACTATAAAATGATGAAGTGAAAGTTTTTGAGTGGTCGTCACAAACTAGTGATCCTAATGCTATAGAAAAAGAACAAGGTGGCGTACCAACCCAGTTCAGTTTCAGCAGATCTGAAGAATGGGTCAAAATTCTGGAAAACTATTGTAAGAAGCTTGCTGCAGGAATCCTAAGAGCTAAAATATAATGCCACTGTGTCTTGGAGATGCTCTACCTCACATCGAAAAAGCTTCTTCAGGTATAACCACAGACCGGAAGTGTCAAGCTGATAGTTGTACATTCACTCCAGCTTCGTTTAATCCACTTAAATCAAACTCGAGCTCATTTCCCTAGAAAGTTCAGATGACAATCAAAAGCTGCCACCTAACAATCCCACCATGTGAGTCGTTTTGGCAACATCTCAAAATATGAATGGCTTTAAAATCGTCTAGGGGGAACGAGGCAAGGCCACTTCTCTCGAATCAACTGGGATTTCATCAGATCTTGGTCCTATGCAAGGCAGTAAGAAACAAGATTGAGAGGTTGCAAAACTAGCATGGAAAGAAGAAGGTCCTCTCTACCATGCTGAAGATGTTCACAATGTCAGAACTCATTCAGCAATGTATTTGTTTTAAGTTCTAAGTTGTGAATCTTCTACATTGTTAAAATTATCTGAAGGCAGAATCAGCCCAGTGCAGGTTCACATTCTCAGGTGAGAGAGACTCACCTGGTATGAAATTAATTTTTCGGCACTGGAATTACACCGAAGATAAATTTGTTTTATCAAAGGACGTCATGAATATGTGAGCATGTACACGCTCAAATCAATACATCTCTGTCTGATAAGGACACTCAAAGTATGCGATTAGATGTGCTTGCAGGTATTAGTTAAGAGGTCAATGAATAAGCGGCGATCGAGCTGGAAGACGCTGACCTTTGAATCGACTCTAAGTAATGAAGGAGTTTTTAACTGCAGTGTCTGCTCTAACAATAGACTCCATTAGCAGCAAGTACCGACTAATGCAACCGGCTGCGTCAAGAAATCACACCACTCACTTATGGTTGGCTGCAATTTCTTTTTTTTAGTGCCTTTTTTTTAATAAGCAGATGAAATTTCCCCCTGTAAAGTTTTTTTCCTTACAACAATAAAGATGTTTAAATCATTTTAAAAAAGAAAACACAAATTGCACCTTATATATACTTAACCATGTCCACTTTTTTTTTTTGCAACACTTCTTTTTTTCACCATCCCTGCGCAAAAAGAAACAAATAGAGAGGGTAAAAAAACAAAAACAAAAACAAAAAAAAAACAGAAAAATGTTGCCATGATTAATAACTGGTAATGAAAGGATAATATATCCTATTTATAACAGATTCTTTTCCAACTAATGTACATTGCAATGCCATGATCATAAATAGTACATACACTGTGTATAAAAAGAGGAACAAAACAACGACTGAAAGCGAGGCATGCCTTCCAGTGACAGTTACATTCACTTTTTCCTTTTTTAAATCGTTTTTTTTTGTTTTTTTATTTAGTTTTTTTTTTCCAGAATGTCATATGGGAACACGACACAAATATTACTGTGAAGATAACTGAGCGAGGAGCGGTTTTGTTCTTTCAGCTCACTTCCAGAAGCAGATTCACTTTTAATCCTTACAGCTTAATGTATTTTATAAAAATTTTTTTTTTTTTAAAGAAACAATTACAGTGCCTTGCTGAAGCACTCGCGCCCCTTCATGGATGGATTGTTACGTTCGGTTCCGCAAACCAAACCCGAGACGGAAAACGCTTCCAGGGGCGCGAAGGCTTCCGCAGCGCACCGCACACACCGCCGAGACCCGTCAGTTGATTCACACCGAGGGAGTCAGCGTGATGACGTCATGGTATGGACGCAGCAGGTGAGGAAGGGCGCGCGCGCGCGCACGTTGGACTGTGGTGGGCTTAGTCGCTACTTGTTTTGGTTAGCAGGCAGATTAAATGCTACGTTTCACAGCGAGAACCCGGAGAGAAGAAGTTCGGAGAAGAGCTACGGTTCTGACGGGAAGGAGCGGAGCAGTTTGAGTGGCTCAGAGGAGATAATGGACGGTTAAAGTGAGTCGGTAAGCGCGAGGCGATAGACGCTCCCCCCACCCCGGGTTAGTTAGTGTGACCGGAAACGGGTTTCACCGTTTCCGAGAGAAATCCTTGTGTGTGAAATGAGGGGTAGGAGAAGCTACATATGCACAGAGGA